TTAGACTTGTATACCGCTTTACAGTGCTTTACAGCCCTCTCTAAGCAGTTTACAGAGTCAGCATATTGCCCCCAACAATTTGGGTGCTCATTTTACCCACCTCAGAAGGATGGGAAGTTGAGTCAACCTTGACTCTGGTGAGATTTGAACTGCCAAATTGCAGCCAGCTAGCAGTCAGCAGAAGTAGCCTGCAGTACTGCACTCTAACCACTGTGCCACTGTGGCTCACGGATTAGGGGTCCTGCTCATAGCCACTCATGCCTTGATTTTCTTTCTGAATTTTAGCAATTTCCTCACTTGGAAGCCCACAGATAAGTTGCAACTGATGCAGAATATAGCCACACTGTAGAACATCCAAGTAACACTACTCACTATGAGTAAGCTTCTTGGTGCAATTCAAGGTGCTGGTTGTCATCTATAAAGTCCTTCATGACATAGCGCTGTGTTATTTGACTCTCTCAATTATTTCTGCCTGTTTCACAAGTTCTGAAAGAGTGGGCTTGTTCCAGGTCCTTTCTATCAAACAGTGTCACCTGATTGGATTCAGGAGACATCCCTGCTCTCTCATTGGGCCTACCCTGTGAAACAACATGTCCCTTGTGGTCTTAGAGTGGCCCCAACTCTTCTGGGGTTTCATAAAATATTGAAGATCTATATTTTTCCCTCAGGCATTGGACCAAGGAAAAACCAGTGTTCCGCTTTCATTCTTTGATAGGTACATTTATGAGTACAGTTTTTTCAAACGTAAGTTCTCTTTTGTAACATTAATCATTGTTGTCTGCAAGGAACTTTTAGCATTGAATTTTTCAAAAAAATAATCTAAGAAAGACAAATTTCAGCAGAGATTGATGTCAGCATTCACTCCTCTGTGAAGTCCAGTGAGGGCACTTTTTTTTTTTGGTGGAATTGTTCTATAAACTTAGTTATATCTAGTTTAATCTTAACATTCATTTCTCAATAAGGGAAATAATACTGTTGATAACCTAGCTGAAAATTTTGTTGTCCATTACTAAGATGACATATGTGAAGTCAAAATCATTATTTAACTCTTTATTACCTTGTGCCAATTAGAGACTTCACGTAGAGACTCACAAACTCTGATACAAGAAGGAAGAGAATACTTGGGTGCAAATGTATTCATAAAATCATATCAGCTTTTGATTCTAACTACAGGTAATCCTCACTTAACAACAGTAAATGAAACCAGAATTTCTGTCGCTAAGCAATTCAGGCATAAAACTCACTGTCATGTGACCATTTCACTTACCAAGGAGAGTGCAACTTCTAACTGGCTTCCCTATTTTCTATAGTTCCTGGAAGCTAGTAGGGAAGGTCACATATTATGATCACCGAACAGCAAGAGACTGCAATGGTTAGAAATCCAAGACAGTTGCTGAACACTAGGATCATGTTCACATGACCCCTGAAATTCTATGATGACCAGAATTTTGAGGACCGGTCACAACACTAATTCATTCAGTACTGTTGCAAATTTGAACAGTCACTGAATGAGTAGTTATTAAACAAGAACCACCTGTACATGCTCTTTTGGCTCTTAACAGACCTATTATATATCCTGTAAGCAACTTACTTAAAGAAAGCAGTTATCAAGCTTGCCATACAATTCTTCAACAGCTTTGCTTAGAGAAAACCAAATGTGGATTGCATCATCCTTAGTATAAAGGAAGATGGAATACAAATTATTATTAAAAATAACTTCTAGCAGCTCATTGTTTTTTAAAAAAAATTAAAAACTGAATTATGTATGATGATCCAGATGTAAAATACGGAGAGCTAATTCATTTCTATATATTTAAATAAATCTCTTAAATTGGTAACAGGATTTCTTAGCGCTGTAAAAAAAAACACGTGGCTGATTTTCAAATGTGCCTCCTATGCCCACAACTCTAAAAATAGCTAGAGGCCACTACAGTCAGGAAAATGGGGAACATTTCATCTTGAGGATCTTATAACGGACTAGCCACAGATGTTTTTGCATTATGAATCTCCTCTAAGATACATTTATAGCTGTTTAGCATCCTTCTCATCAATCTGAAAATTTCTTGAAAGACAGATGTGCACAAATTACGTCTCCCCACCCCGAGGTTCACTTAGCCATCCCCTTATTCCATTCTATATGTGATATCTCCATTCAAAGATTAAATGGAGTTAATCAGATTGTGAGAAGAGGAGCATACCCTAATTATTACCATTATTACATTAATCATTTCTATTAAAAGAAAAAGACTGATTATTTGATAAAAAGCAACTAAACTGGGCCATGATCTATAGCTGTTTGAGGGATGATATATCCTTGATATCAGCAATTGATCTCTCCACGAATCCCTTTCTGCTACTTGGAAGTTTCTGAGGATTATAAAACTTGATTCCAATATGATCCTATCTAATCCCCATCTCGTAGCAAGATGTGCACATAGAAACCATAAGCAACCACCAGACTTTGAAAACCTTAGTGATACAATTTGCAGCTTAGAAAAAGAAAGCCAACTACACATAAAATGTATTTTATTTTAAGATAAACTACCTTCTGGAAATAAGACAGGATACATACCGTAAAAAGTTAATTCAAATATACATATGGAATACTTAACTCTGTATTGGATTGTCATATTGGACCTTTTCAGAAAAAAACAAAAATATGGCGGGAAAGGGGTAAAGTGGACGATTGAATAAATGAAACTTCAAAGTAGCAATAAATTGTCAGCACAGAGGAATAACAACTGGGGGGTTTAAAGGAGCTCAACATTATATGTAACATGTAATTAGAACCCGACTGCTCTCTTCTTCATGCCTGCCATTTAAACGTCTGGTTCAAACTATTTATTATTTTATTCCACTTGAACTCCACCTGAATCCAAATGACTCTCAGTAGTTCACAATAAAATGATATAAAAACAGAAAGATACAAAAAATTAATCAAAGAAGGTACAAAAATAACTACAAAATCATCATTAAAAAAAAAATCCTGGGTGATACTGGACTCATTGCAACTTTCATAATTCCCCCACTTGCTCCCCTTTGCTTACATAACCAACTCCTCATTTATTTTATTGAAGATTATCTGTAGCAGCAGATTATTAGTAATTGATCAGTCCACAACCCTCTCTTCAGAACTTGACCCTTTCCTTCCCTTCCCTAGCCAAATCCTCAAACGCAGATTGTCCAGTCTGTGGCCCATGGCCACATATGGCTCTAGACCAGAGGTGAAATGCTCCCGCTTCGGACCGGCTCGGGTGAGTAGGTAGCGATGGCAGTGGGCAGTTCGGAGAACCGGTAGCAAAAATCCCTGCCCCCGCCCACCATGCCCAGCTGAGCCCCGCGATCATCAGAGCCTTTTTTTCCTTTTAAATGGCTCTGACCAGCCAAGCTCTGACATCCCAGCTGAGTTGCCTGCTAATCAGGCAACTCAGCTTGGATCGCCAGAGCCATGTAAAAGAAAAAAAATTTCTTTTTTTTCTCCCCCCTGCCCCCCACAGCCTCCAGCTTGCTTACCTTAGCTGCTGATCGCATGGCGATCAGCAGCTAAGGTATCAGCAAGCAACTGAATCTCCCTGCCTGCAATCAAGCTCATCAGTGAGCAGCTCTTTCTGCCAGCCTGCCTTCCTGCCTAGACTTGTGGATTTCAACTCCCAGCAAAGCTGGCTGAGGAATTCTGGGAGTTGAAGTCCACAAGTCTTAAAGTTGCCAAGTTGGAGACCCCTGTTCTATTGGATAAGTTTTTTCCCCTTTGGGAGCTTTAAAAACAATAGTTAATTCGGGTATTTTTTAGTTGTTCTTTTTTTAGACCTAGCCATTTAAAGTTTAGGAAGTTTTAAATTTAGCTGCTTTTATATAAATATAAAAATAAATTAAAATAAAATAATATTTGTGCAGCTTTCTGAGATTTACTGTGTTTCTGTAGTGTTTCACTCTAACTACACAAACACACAAAATCTCACAAAGCTGTATGTGGAATTTTGTGTGTGTAAAGTGTGAAAGTTGGTTTTTTGGGTTTTTTGTGGCTGTGTGAGGTTCCTGCTTGTTGCAGGGGCCATTTGGGTCTAGCACAGCTGCTTTTACATTGTGGGTGAGCCAGTTGTGTTGTGTGTGTGTAAAGTGTGAAAGTTGTTTTTTTGGGCTTTTTGTGGCTGTGTGAGGTTCCTGCTTGTTGGGGGACCATTTTGAGTCTAGCACAGCTGCTTTTACATTTTACACCCTCAACTGGGTGAGCCAGTTGTGTTGTGTTGTGTTTTGTAGGTTAAAAAAGGGCAAAGAAGTGACATTGACTTGGCCACGCCCACCCAGTCACCTTACCACCAAGCCCTGCCCAGTAATTAAGCCACACCCACAGAACCGGTAGCAAAAAAATTTAGATTTCACCCCTGCTCTAGACAGCTAGTAATATGTTTCCTATTTTGTTTTAATGTTATAAAAATATTTTTAAAATGAAGGAAGTTTCTTTATATACATTAACTATATTATATCTTCTACATCTGGCCTACATCTTCACTCAGTGAGGCCCAGGCAAGTCAAAAGATTAGACACCCATTCTCTAATGCAGGTGTGTCAAACTCACGTTGTCACCATGGTGTCACGTGATATATTGGGACTTTTTCCCCCTTCGTTAAATTGGAAGTGGGTTTGGCCAACACATGATGCATCCAGCCCACAGACCATGAGTTTGACACGCCTGCGTTGGCTGCTTACTGACTGAAGAATTCTGAAACTGAAGTCCACATATCTTAAAGTTGCCAAAGTTTCATTTTTTTGAGGAAACTGAATGTAAGTTCATATGAAGCATTTTATATAGTCACAAAAATGGCACTTCATTTTATGTAGCCCACAGCAGAAAGGCCTGTATTGGCATATACATACTACCATATAAAGAGCTACAGAAAACAGCATGGATACTTCTTCTATTATAGAATTTGTTATTTCCAGCTGGCTACTCTCTGAACCCTATTTTCAACTCTTTGAAAATGCTTACACTTGCAACTTACATGCTAGAGATACTGTGATTTGATGAGCAACTTCCAGATTCTGGGATTCTCCCTTCTTAAAGCTCCTTCTTCTCTTTGAAGGAGCGCAGCTGGACTGGACAGCACTTCAAAGAGAGAACATCTTTAAGCACAAGGTTGTCTCTCTGTAAATTAGGACACAAAGCAAACTCTAAGTCAGCACACAAATAACAACTGTCAGGGCAAAAACAAATTCTAACAACATTCCAACAAGCTGTTTCCTCTCATCTTCCCTCAATCACGTGCATTTTATTCTTTTTAAAAGTCTATTTTTTTACAAACGTCTAGATGGGACTGCTGGGATGAACTCTATTAGCAATCTGAGACTGACATTATTTCTTTGTACAAATCCATAAAGTGCTCTGGAGTTCCAGCTTGAATCAAACAGCAATTTTTGTTATTGTTTGAAATGATGGCAATATTCATTTCCTCACTGTAAATCAATTAACTTACAGAAAAATAATCAGGACATATTAGAGGGGTTTGTGTGTATGTTGTTTGTTTTTAATTTACAAGTAATATAAGCCTTTAGATTATGAGCCAGCAGGTTTTCCATTTTATTTTTCTACAACTCCTAATAATTTAAACTCTATGTTCCGATTACTCAAATTCAATATGGTATTTGTTTTAAAAGAAATTTACCAGTGATAATGCCAGAGCATTTTGGGCAAGCAGAAGCTTAGAACACAGAATAAATGGGGAATGAATGAGGGTACCATTATGTATGGAGAGGAGGTTAAACACATCTACATGGTAGCCATAACCACATGATCAAAATCCTTCTTGTTACATGCTGTGTTTGCAATGATGCTAAAAAGGGTCAGCAATTGATCACCCAGTCACACCTGCTAGTGTGACATTGTGGACCACTCTTCAGATGCCCCTGAACACAGATAATATATTTAAAATTACTTAAACAGCTGCCCCAAGAGTAGATGGGTAGCAAACAAACATAAAAACAAATAAATAACTGCATTCCTGTTACGAACTGGCCATGTTTGGCATCTTTAAGAACGTGTATTTAAACTGAATTGGCCTCATTTAATAGCTAGAATCATCGTTATTTTAACAGATTACATCTGGTTTAAAATTAAAATTCCCAACTATTGTGGCTGACTGGTGTTGTTTTGCTTATTTACCAAATAACATGACTAGTTACATATTTAGTGTCATATGTAAATAAATACACTTTTTAAATTATATCTACAATGCTTTTTAAAGAAGTACATATAATGAACCTGGGCTGTTTTTATCCTACTTGTCAACAATATGTATCCCAGAGCAACTTTACTGCATGGGAATAGGCAGATTTAAGGTAAGCAAGTCTTTTTTTTTCAATATGACCAAATTAATTTTAATTGGAAAAAGTTAAATATAAATAGTTTGCCTCGCTGTAAAAACCGTGTAGGAATGGTTTTGCATTAAATGTCTTGGACCCAGCCCCTGGCTTGAATTTTAATTGTTGGGCAAGTTACCCAGGGAAATAATTGAATATTTTCTTAAGGTTAATCCAAATGTTCTTCTATGGAATGTTCGATGTGGTTAGGGGAAAAAAATGCAGTTTGGATTCTAAAGCAAATTGCCAGGCAATTAAAAATTATGCTTAAAAATCATACTAAAAACATAAGTACATGTTTTTCTTTTGCCGTTCTGATATTTTTTAACCAGCCTTGTTGGAAGCAGGAGCAGAAGAGACTATTTCATTAACGATTGTATATTTCCACCCTGGAAACTTTGTGGCTTTCAAGAAATTCTGTGTCTACTTTCAATGGAGAAATAAAGAGCTAGTACAAGTGAAACAAAGAATTCCAGATTTTCCAAGTTATGGGAGAAAAATAAATCACCTGATCTTTACATTAGATATATCACTGTCTCTTCTTTCTTCAGTGCTTCATTCTCACAGTGCAACTCCAGTTGCCTCCTTATGGATTGTGGTTATTCCATAAGGTTTACACCTCCATTCCTTCTACCCTTCCTCCCAGTACACACATACACAAATATACACATCAGATCCCAGTCACATGTTATGATGTCATGAAGACTGTAGGCCTCAGCCTGCATAATCAGCTCCACAGCACACCAGGATGCTTCCTGTTTCAGCCATTTGAGAAGCCAGGACAGTTTGTCTGCACTGCAGAAAAGAACATGAATTACCTTACCTCTGTGTATCCTAACAACCTTTACTGTACATTTTACCACATGCTCAATTTATGATTCAGAAAAGGGGGAAAGAAAAAGCTCAAGACCTTGAAATAATACCTAAAACAGAGTTTTTATGAACCCAGGATAACTCAGACTGTGAACACGAGTCCTTATGTAAGATCTTGATATGATTCTTGCCTATTTAACCTATCCAAAGATAGTGGGAATAAAATAAGACTTAAAATACATTCCCCTGACAGGTAATATCATCATTACCTTTTGTTGATATTTCAGGTTCAGTCTATTATCAATCTCTTTGTGGAAAGATCCCTAAAATGCTATAAAACTCATGAGTAGGGCTTTCTCTTTTTCCTTCCGTGAGCCTGAGAACAAAGCCAGATGGAACAAGTCTTAATAACTTTTTGCTTCTTGCAGAAGCAGCTGGCAAGGAATCCTTTCCTTGGGGTTTTGGGGGGGAAGGTGTTTCTTCACCAATGCAGACACAGGCAATGCAAACATATCATGATATTTGGAATTGGAATTGGTTTCATCCTGAAATATTGTTTGATTTTCTGATATCTCTTTTATTTTAAAATGTCAATGTTGCTGATTTGTTTTATTAGCTTAATTGGAAAAATATGTTTTGAATCTCAAGTGTGCCTTTTGGACTGACACCAGCAGGACTGGTGTCAGCAGCTGTTGGGCTTTAATGTCCCACTATGGTAAGGTGACCAGACGTCCCGCTTTTGGCGGGACAGTCCCGCTTTTTAGCAATTTGTCCCGCGTCCCGCGGCGTTTCAAAAAAGTCCCGATTTTTCATTCTGCCTCCTCAGTCCCGCTGCCTCTTGAGCCCCAGCTGATGGCTAGAAGAAAAAAAAACTGTTTAAACTCTTGCCCGGGGCTTCAAAGGGCCGCCCTACAGGCAATCAGTGTAAAGAGTTCCTGAAGCAGTTTTTTTTTTCCCCTAGCTAAGCTGCAGAAACGAAACCGAAACCAGGATCTTTGGTGGAACGTGACAAAATGAGGCAGAGAGAGATTTATTTTTATTTTTATTTTTCCTCCCCAAAAAAAGGTAGGTGAAAAACTGCAAACAATGGGAAATTTAGGAGGAGAGTTCAAGATTTTAAAACACAAAAGAAAAAAAAGCTGTATTTAACTAGGGAATTGTAATAATTGAATTGAGATACTATTAATTGTATATTGTGTTGAAAGCAGAAATGTTTAAGTTGTGGTTCAGAGGAATATATGGGGGAAATTATTTGGTTTATTATTATTGGTAAATATAATTAATTGATTTGTAAGAAATTGGATTGCATGGAAATAATTGGAATATTCATGTTCATATTGATTAATATACAAAAAAGATAGTTTTATAACTAATTGATTTATATTAAAATGTTGAATTTGTATTAAACAACTGTATTACATAATTACATAATTAAACAATGTGAGGATGGATATAAAAATAGATGACAATGGGAAGGGGTATAATATAGAATAGAAGGGAAAAATTGAATTTGATTAAGATTAGAGATGAGGATGAAGGGTAATATTGTTTTTTTAAAAAAAATAGATGAGGAATAAATATGGCAAAAAGGAAATATAGAAATTGTAAATTTAATTGAAGTGACTAAACACTGTTTAAATTTGTGAACCGGCCAAATACTCTGTTCAAAGAAAATAAATTGTACGTTTGTATGTGTGTTTCTAATTACTGCTATTTATTCATATTTGTTCTCTTTTATTCTTTAAAGTTTAACCATTCATTCTTTATCTTAATATCTTTATATTTGTTTGGGGTTGGCTTTCTTCCCTTTCATCTTTTTTATTGTACAGCAATCTTTCTCCTCAAACCTACCACCTCTCTCTTTTCTTTCCTTCTTACTTTCTCTTCCCCCCCTCTTCTTCTCCTCCCTACTTCCTCTTCCTTTCTCCTTCTCCTCTCTTCCTCCCCCTCTTACCCTCACTCCTACTCTAATTTCCCTTCCCTTCCTTCATCCCTCTCTATTGCTGTATCCTTTTATGCATATGGACTACTCAGAGGGCTGAAAAAGTTATTTTTGACTGGTCCTCGCACTTTTGACCAGTCATCGAACTTACGACTGTCTTCACATTTTATGTTTTTTGCCCTATCTTATCACCATGGTGAAGAGAAGCAGTTGTGAAATGAGTGACATGGTTGTTAAGGATGCTGCATGGGCATAAATGTGAGGATGGTCATAAGTGTGAGGACCAGTCAAAAGTGCAAGGACCTGTCAGAAATGACTTTTTTCAGCCCTCTGGTTAGTCCTTTTGTGCATATGGACTACTCAGAGGGCTGAAAAAGTTATTTTTGATTGATCCTCGCACTTTTGTCCAGTCCTCAAACTTACGACTGTCCTCACATTTTACATTTTTGCCCTATCTTGTCATCATGGTGAAGAGAAGCAGTTGTGAAATGAGTGACATGGTTGTTAAGAATGCTGCACGGGCATAAATGTGAGGATGGTCATAAGTGTGAGGACCAGTCAAAAGTGCGAGGACCTGTCAGAAATGATTTTTTCAGCCCTCTGGTTAGTCCTTTTGTGCATATGGACTACTCAGAGGGCTGAAAAAGTTATTTTTGACTGGTCCTCACACTTTTGACCAGTCCTCGAACTTACAACTGTCCTCACATTTTACGTTTTTGCCCTATCTTGTCACCATGGTGAAGAGAAGCAGTTGTGAAATGAGTGACATGGTTGTTAAGAATACTGCACGGGCATAAATGTGAGGATGGTCATAAGTGTGAGGACCAGTCAAAAGTGTGAGGACCTGTCAGAAATGACTTTTCAGCCCTCTGAGTAGTCCCTATACACATAGCCATGGCCACCCGGTCACATGACCAGCTAGCCAGCCCACCCAGTCACATGGCCTCCAAGCCACGCCCACACAATAAGTCACGCCCACAAATGGTGTCCTTCTTACCAATGTTAAAATCTGTTCACCTTACCCTATACACATAGCCATGGCCACCCGGTCACATGACCAGCTAGCCACGCCCACCCAGTCACATGACCAGCTAGCCACGCCCACAAAATAAGCCACGCCCACAATGTCCCTCTTTACCAATGTTAAAATCTGGTCACCTTACACTATGGGCCACTCTGTCCCACTTTAAAATAATTCCTAACTTGCAAGTTTATCAGGTAAGAGATATAGTCAATGCTCAAGAAAGCCCCCAAAGTTAATGTCACACAACTTTTTAATAAAGTGTTGTCCTTCTCTCCTCCCACTGTGTAGCTTGCTTTGTTTCTTTCCTCTCCCTTCCCCCCATGTCTGGGCAGCTTCTAGCAAACACATCCAAGGGGTTTCATTTAAACCTGATAGTGTACCAACTATGCCTTGTAAATATGTTCTGACCAGGATTTTAAAGTCATAACGTAGAAACAATCAATGCCAATCAATTCCACTTAGGGAATGGCTCTTTTTAAATTATGGTAAGGAAGATAGCTTGACCTGAGAATTTTTACACGTTGTGGCTGTTGGCCTTGTTGCGTATTTATACTTGCAGATAGCTATGTTTTTTGCCTTTTTTTAACCTTCTTCATAATATCCTACAAGAGGACATCTTGATTCTAAGAATTTGGGTTCTGAGTACTTCTGCCTGGTCCCAGAAGTGTTCTCAATAGTTTTTTCCAACATTTGTCACATCAGTGAAGTCCCTTCATTTCAGGCACATAATAAGAAGTTTTGCCAGAGAGAGAAGTTTAAGATTGTCTTACTAACAGTATGGTTCTATTGTTGTAATGAAGCACTCCAGTATTTTGGAATTCAGTTGTTCATTGCTGCAATTTCCTATCATGTATTTTATCATCCTCTATTGTTTAGTGTCCTGAAGGTGTGCATTAATTTAAAGTGAATTATATTATGCTTATTAACTGAAAAGTAACTTTTTTATTAGAATAAAATTGTAACTATTACCTTTTTAATAACAGGTGCAAATTTTCATATTGTTTGCATTTCTTTTTATTGCATGTGCTTTCTATGTCCTTTCTGCTAGATTGCACTTCTGTTTCAAAGAAATCTTATAGTGAAAATAAGACAAAAAAGAATAATATGATTATCCAAAGCACCCAACTTCACTGCTAAACTTTCCATTACCTTCAGCTAGCTTTGAATTAGTCCCACCATCTATCATTTCCAATTTATTTTTGACACTCATCCAGAAGAAAGATACTTGTCCGAAATATATTGAATACTTTTTAAATACAATACCCAAGGGCATTACAATGTACATCTTATATTTTGAATATAAGCAGGAAGAAGAAATTAGAGATATCAACATTTTAAAATATGCTAAACCTAGCTACTCAGTTTTCAAGGTTTAATAAGTTTCTCATAAATATAGTGAAACATACAAGTTTATGATACTTACATATTCAAAACAAATGTCAGGACGTGAAACTAAATCATCTGTCCTATTTCTCTTCATACTGAACAAAAGAGCTTTTTATGTGCCAAGAATTAATTTCCTCCTCTTCCTCTTCCTCTTCCTCTTCCTCCTCTATTAGAATCTCTTCCTTATTATCAAATAGGAAAACACTGGACATTAATAGCCTTTCCAACTTGATGCATCTCAGAGAGATTGGATTACAACTATTCCTGCAGCAAATTTTACAGTCTATGGAATATACAAGGCCAACCTGTAATACATTTCTTCTTTTTAACATCTTGATAAACTTTTTTATAGGCTGAAAGCTATGGTAGATGATTTGTAAATCTGGGTATT